AGTTCCCGTTCATGTACATTTGCTTAAGATGTTCTCCCCTCCCAAATTGTTCCAGATTTTAAAACAAGAAACAGTGCATGGCATGTAGGGACAGCCTATGTTAGGAAACTTAGTTAATCTCAGTTGCACCTCGGGAAGTATCCAACAGAGCCAATACAGTTAATGTTTGTTTTTAATCTAAATATATATATTTTTTAATCTAACATATAGGTACATTTCTAACATCCAGTAGCTTGGGGCAGAACATTTAATCTGCTCTATCCAAGCAAACTCTACGCTCAGAGTACAACTGTGCTTTTGTACCAAACAGAAATGCTTTGAACAGCCTTTACTGTAACAAACCTATATATTTTCCTATATATTAGGAAAACTTCCCTTGCCAAAAGGGTTATCAAGCATGGGACCAGGCTGCCCAGGGAAGTGGTTGAGTCACCATCCCTGGAGGCATTTAGAAGACGTGTAGACATGGTGCTTAGGGACATGGTTCAGTGGTGGACTTGGCAGTGTTAGGTTTTTGGTTGGACTCAATGATCTCAAGGGTCTTTTCCAACCTAAATGATTCTATGATTCTGTGACTCTAAACACTATCTGGCTGTGCCCACGCAGCTGCTTTCTTTCCCCCGCACAGCCGTGTGTCAGCTGTCTGATCTAGGTTAGAAATAAGGAGCTATAAAGGCCCACTGATAGCAGTGCTAAGAGGAGAAAGTTGCACTGATACCACACTAGCAAGTTCCTTCATAAATCATAGAATCATGCTACATGTACAGACAAGACCACCGGTACACATTAAGACTGCCCTGTTCTGGAGGTGGAACTGGGATCCTGTCAGGGCCGAAACAGTCCTCAAGAAGCCCTGAGTAGAGGAAGCAGCATATACCTTAACACCTGTTAAATCACAAAATTTAGTGCTGGCCACCCTCTGACAGAGATAAGCACGTTCACAGTAATTCTGACCCAGAACTGCCTGTGAGAAGTTTGCACTCATTCAGAGCACGTTCAGAGTAAAATGCCCTCTACTCAGCGTGATTTAGGAACACTTTTAACTGTTTTCTACAGATATTAAGCTTGCGCAATAAGGCTGCATGTACACATATGTACACAGCTCTACATAACTCTCAAACATGCTGACCAGCTTCAACCAAATTTGGGAAGTGGCAATCATCTCCAAGATAACTACATGCATGGAGGTCTCACAAAAGAGACAAACTCTGCAAATGCCTTCTGCAGCAGAAAGATTTCAGCCCCATTAGACCTGGAGGACCTTCACAGCAGTGGCACTTCATGGAGGTCACAAACCAGGAGAAAGCTTCAGCCAAATTTCACA